CACACACACACACACACACACACACACACACACACACACACACACACACACACACACACACATATTAAGAAGGGGCTGAAAACAAACAAAATTAAAGGATGTTGTATTAACGTACAAATTTAAGGATGATGTATTGGTATTAATCGTATAAATTTAACTTGCGTAAATTAATTTATTCTGAAGATAAATATCTGTAGAAACTTGCCACTACACTGTCCACAAGCGATCCACGTCGTTGACTAACAGATTTCGCTCTCGACGGTAACGAACTTACCTAGCGGTTTACGACACTATCACTTTCTCTTTCAGTAAGTTTCCATATTGAAATCAGGTGTGTACCAATCAGTCGAGTACAAAAACAAAATTGAAATGAAAAACTTATGAGATTATTTATTGTGAAAAAACATATTTATTTTTAGATAAAAAATACAAATAGATACAAATAGATACAAATCATTGGTAAGAAATTATTTATTACATTATATATTTATTAATATTAATTATTATAATATAATATTTTATAGTTTACATCAAAATAAGGAATATGTATTTTTTGTATACGTGCTTATATGTATTTTTAGGATATGAAACATTCATTTAAATAAAATTAGTCATTTTCTTTTAAAATAAATATTGTTGAAATTATAAAATAAGGAAAAAATTTTTTAAATGAAATGATTAATTGAACGATTTAAGAAAATTAACTTTATATAATAAAGACAAAAACCTTTTTAATTTTTTATTCTTAATAAATAATTTTTTTTCATTATTATAAATTACTTTTTCATTATTATAAGGTACTTTTGAAGTCATTCAATTTTTACAAAAAAATTGTTTTCCATCCCTTATTATTTATTCACTTTAAATGAAATCGATTGGGTATTTCGTCCACTGAATAAATACGTACGGGATACGTATTCCTTATAATGGTCCAGGCTATAATAGATTAAAAGTTCATCAAAATCAGAGAGGGATACATCCCTGTGCTTCTTTGTAAGGTGTAAAGTAAAATATTTTTTAATATATGAATAAAATATTTATATCCATTTAAAATAATACAATTTATAATTGAATAGATGTAAAGATAATAAATTATTAATATGGTTCAATCAGAATAAATCAATAAATAAAAGAAGGATTACGAACCAGTTACTGGTTCGTAATCCTTCTTTTATTTATTGGTAAAGATAATAGTTAAAGTAACGATAAAAATAACAACTGAATTCATAAAAATATAACGACGTTACTGTTACCATTTAGACAGAAAAAAAATAACGATTATTACCGAAAACAAGTAACAATTGCGATAATGGCGTCATAAAAAGTAACGTGTTATTTCTCGTCCTTATAATTTGACTGTAAGGATATTGTTAATTTATGGACAATATTCATAAACATATACGATACAAGTCGAGCGATTAATTTTTAATTTTTTAAGAGTGACAGTTGCGATTTGCACAATAATTAGAGATCTTTAAATTAATTATTTGTTTTTGTCTATATTTCAATTATTTCCATACAGTACAGAAAGATTGTAAAATGATTGCATATATATCTCATTACAATGTTGTAATATTGCAAATAGATTGCGCAATGTATTTGCAACATTATTGTAATGTCATAGCATCATAAAAATGTCCGCCTTCAGCAAGATTGCGCTGTAATGTTGTAACAATGTTGTAGCGCAATGTATTTGCAACTATTATTAAAAATAGTTCTATTATTATTGAATATAATTTGAAATACAATTTGTGATAAAAATTTAAAAAATGCATAAGGAGAAATAATTATTATATATTCTATATTATATATAATTTTATATTTTATGTATAATTATATATATAATTTTATATAATTATTATATTTTATACTTAATTGAAAATATTTTATATGCAGGTATATATATTTTTAAATTTACGTATATGGCCATATATACTTTACATTTTTTTGCACACATATTTTACACTTTATGCAGTGCGTCTATTTTATACATATTCTTAACTGGTGAAATGAAAATAATAAGAAACTCCATGCATTCTGTTTCATTTTCTTTGCAATATTCTAAGAATTTTTTAAATCCAAATATTCCAAAAAATTATGAGAGTTGATTATAAAGTTTGAAATCTTGTCGCGCGGCAGCGACAACAAATGCGACAACAATACGTATTCGGTAATTCTTTCCTACACGTAATGTTATTATTTCAAAATATTAACATGGTTACAATAATACATTCGAATTGTAATAATCACACGAATTGTAATAAGTTTATAATTAAATGAAATGTTTAATAATAGTACATTGATTTCGAACGTAAAAGTTATCTCTTTCCAGTAAGAGGGATTAATTTAACTCAAAACTGTATATACGAAATTCTAGAAATCATTAAATTAGCCGAAGATCATTTAAAATGCAGATGTTTACCGTTTAAAAGTTATAATTTACATACAATTTCGCCTTTCGTTTTATATTCATGTCGTTACAAATGATGTTGAATATAGGTATTTCACAAAAGGTATCTTCTATAATCTCCATCAAACGATTGATGACCATTTGTATAAGTTCTAACTGTAAATTCAAAAGAAATAAATTCAAAAGAAAATTTGTTTACATAGAAATAATTAATAATACTTATAGTAATAAATAGTTATAGTAATAAATTTAGATTCTACATTATTAGTATATATTATATAAACACGATATATATTTTATTCATTTTATGTTATTAGCGTTTTAGTTCAGAATATTAATTATTAAAAATAATTAATACATTTCCATGACTGTAAAAATTCATTTTGAGCAAATTGAAAAAATTTCATAATATTGATTTTCATATATTTGTGCTAAAAATATATAAATTCTGTATAAATTATGATATATCCTAAACATAATTTTGAAGTGTAAAATATCCAGACAGCAAATGGACGTTCTTTGGACATTTCGTGTACGTTATATTTTGGTCGTTAGAACGTCCGTTGGATGTCGTCACAATTTCGGATTATGTTAAATACGAGCCATCCTATATACCGCCTATGATGGATGTCCAAATAATGAATGTGTCAATTAGACGTACGATCGTCGTCCATTTTATGTTCATGGACATGCGAACGTAAAATAGACATGAAAAAAGGCATCCATAAAACGGGGACGATTACGATAACTGTAGCCCCTCAAAATAAAATCACGCCTATTAAACAGTCGGTTCTGATCAATGTTCGGTTAGCGTGATCACGCCATCCTGATGCGGTCGATAGCAGGGGAATGGATGTATCGATACAATATGTCGAAATATAGAAATGAGAACATTGATTCTGCTGTGTGCGTTTCAATACGTCCTATTCTATCGTAATTACACTACATTAGTAAATTAAATATGCGTAATTTTGTGATTTATTTGCTGTTCATTAATTAAAAATAATATAAAACAAAAAAAAACAACATGTCTAATAATCCATACCAATCGACTAATTTATCCACCATTCGGGTTCAAAAGTCTCAAATCTAATTTAGCTCTTTCTAAACGAAATCGAGATGGCTCCTTTTACCTACAAATCGATTGCCCACAGCATCGTTTGCCTATATCATTTTTGCCGACAGTTTATTTGCCCACAAAAACTATTGCCTACAGTTCGATTGCCTACATGCATTATTGCCTACATATCGGTTGCCTACAAACACTTTTGCGCACAAATATAAAATTAAGGTTAAGTTAAGTAAGAAAATAATTTAATTTTAAAACAGAGAATTTTTGTTTTAAATCAGAGAATATGTTTTAAAACAGAGAATTTGTGTTTTTAAAGCAGAAAATTTGTGTTTTAAAACAGAATTTGTGTTTTTAAAGCAGAGAATAATATATGTAAGCAATCGAGCTTAGGCAATAATACAATACATGTAGATAATCGAGCTATAGGCAATGATGCATGTAGGCAATCGATCTGTAGGCAATAATACATGTAGACAATCGATCTGTAGGCAATAATACAATATATGTAGGCAAATGTGATTTCGTCTCTGAAATTTTTATTTGTGCACAAAAGTGCTTGTAGACAATCGAATTGTAGGCAATAATTTTTGTGCTCAAACGAACTGTCGGCAAAAGTGATGTAGGCAATTGATGTTATAGGCAATCGATTTATAAACAAACGGGATCCTGCCAACAAAATCTTCGCTACGCCTCTGTCTGTATAATAACATTGTTTATATTTTTTTCAGACCTTTTGCATATTTATATAATATTATAATATAAATAATTTCCTGTGTATAATTTATTTTTGTATATATAACTTACAAAAATATTGTTGTCGTTCTCTTCATTGTCTTCATTATCTTCATTGTCTTCGTTTTCTTCATCGTCGCCGCCGTCATCTTCCTCATTGTCTTCATAGTGATCGAGTTTGTTGTTGTCATTATCATTTTCTTCTATATTATTTCGTAAACTATTTTTGGGATCTCTGCTAGACTAATTAAAGAGAACATATAAAATTAAATTAATAAAATCTAATTAACTGCTAATTTAGCTAATAGTATTTAGCTAATGATACTTTATATATAAAATTACCAAGGTTAATATATAAATATAATAAATCTTAATATGTCCGCTGGACGTCTATTTGTCACAACTTCGGACTACATTGAATATGGACCATCTTATATACACCTATGGACGTTCAAATGATGTATTCAAAATCGAATTTACGACAATATTCATTTCATGTCAATAGACGTGTGGACATAAATGGACATAAAATAAACGGTCATGCAATGTCCTGTGCTAACTGAGTAATAGTACAATAAAATATTTTTGGTTAATATGCATAGGCTTAGTCAAAGAGACGAGGGAGGTCTATTTCTGGTACGTTTCCTTATTACATAATAGCGGATTTATGATTTTATAATTGCTAATCGTTTACTGCTCCTATGGCTGAACGGAGCACCGTTGATGTTATTATCTTGGTCGTTACCACCTATTAAACCATGTGTTGAACACATAAGATGACTGTGAGCATTAATATAATTAAATTGCTTGCCAATACTACTCTAGATTTGTTAAAATCTCAAAACTGAAAATAAATTCGACGCGTAGTTTGAGGGATTCGATATAAATATATAAATTTACATAGAATTATTTGAGCATTAAAGATCTTGTTTGACCATTTAATAACTTTATTTCCGATTCGTAGTCACATTAATATTTTTTATATATTCTTAGAATATTTCCTGCTTATTTATATATACATATAATTTTCTCTATATAATTTATTTTTATGTATTTAACTTAATCAAAAATCACGAACTCTGTTATTGTCGTAGTTGTTTGGTTGTTGTCGCTGCCGGCGTCGTCTTCGTCATTGTCGTCGTCATCATCATCATCATCATCATCATCATCATCATCATCATCATCATCATCATCATCATCATCATCATCCTCATCATCATCATCATCATCATCATCATCATCATCATCATCGTTATCATCGTCGTCGTCGTCGTCGACGTCATCCTCGTCGTCATCGTCGTTATCCTCGTCATCATCGTCGTCATTGTAGTCATGTTTGATGTTGTAATCGGTTTTTTTTATATTATTTCGTAAGCTATTTTTAGGATTTCTGCCTGACTAATTAAAAAGAACATATTATAGAAAATTAAATTAATAAAAACTCATTAACTACCAATTGTATTAGCTAATAATATTTAGCTAATAATACTTTATACACGAAATTATCGAGGTTGGTAAATAAATAATAAATTTTAATATGCCCGCCGGACGTTTGTTTATCACAACTTCGGATACATTGAATGCGAGTTATCCTATATACGAGTACATCTAAAGACTTTGATTCTTTTCCTCGGAAATTTTCACAGACTGAGAAATGACCATCTTTTTATATTAATGCTCATAGTCCGTACGCGATTAACGACACGACTAAATCTTACGTCCGCTTACAACTTAATTTGACGTAAAGATGAAATAATCTGAATTTTTGGAAGTTTTAAAAAAGTAACCAAGGGAAAGAATCGAAGTCCTTGGGTGCATCCTATGAACGTCCAAATAATGGATATTAAAAATCGGATTTATGTCGATGTCTATTTCATGTCTGTGGACGTAAAATGGACATACAACGTCCTGTGCTAACTACCCTGATAGTAAAGCCTGCGGAGACAGATTTTGAACAGAACCTGCTACCAATTTTTGATTGCAGAAAGGCACCAAATTGTATACAGAATTTGTATTATTTGACATTGTCAGCAAATTGTTGCCAGAAATATAACAAAGCCTGCTAGACATGCTATGCCAGCAGATTGGTAGCAGAAACCGCGAGTATAGTCTTGCATAACCTGACAGCAGATTGAGAGCAGATTGAGAGCAGATTGAGAGCAGATTGAGAGCAGATTGAGAGCAGATTGAGAGCAGATTGAGAGCAGAACCTGATTCGAGCAGACTCTGCTCGGTTTCTGCCACCAATCTGCTGGTATAACTTGTCAACAGGTTTTGTCAACAAATCCATAGTCAAATACGGACACAAATGGCCATGGTTTTGTAATCAAAATCTAATGGAGTTTGCTGCCAATTTGGCCCCAAATTGCTAACATTTTGCTATCAGGGTGGGTAATAATACAATAAAATGTTTTTGTCATAGATCTTATATTCTTATATGTATACATATCCCATACAGCACTGAAAGTTTTCAGAAATATTTCAATTGAAAAGTGAAACATTTCATAAAAATATTATAAATATCAGAGACGTCTAATCAAATCATACTGATTATAATAAATATATATAATAGTTTATTCAATTCGACTAATTTCTTCCTCTTTGCTTGTTCAAATGTCTTAACTCTAAAGCGGGCGGCATACGATGCTTGTTTTTCTGCTGGATTGCTAGCTAGATTAGAATCTTGCCACCATATTGGCTACGATGCTGGCACTGATAGCATCATAGCCAATACGGTGGCAAGATTCTAATCCAGCTGGGAACCCAGCAGAAAAACAAGCATCGGTGCCGAAGGCTCAATTTAGCACTCCTAAAATTCATGTCTATATAATATATTTTTTAAATGCTTATTTCCATATGCATTTTAAATGATTATTTCCATACCTATGAGCAGTGATAGGTTAAATACTTTTAAAATGTATCTAAATACAAATACAAATACGTGTACGAAAATGTATTTATAATATACAGATAATAGATACATGTGCGAAAATGTATTTGTATACAAATACAGATATTTTAAAAATATCTTCAGATACATATTAGATACTTTTAAATCATATTTTATTATGATAAAAGTATAATATTAAAAAAAGTGCTAAATAAATTATTTATTAATCACTTTTGGTTTTGTTGTTTTGAAGACAATTAGACCATAATATAATAATAATAAAGTAACTAAAAATCGTATACATACTGTTTGTTGCAAACAAATCTGAAGTTTCGGCACTAATAATATTTAATCCTTACTCCAATTAACATGATACGAAAATTCGGCAAGAGAAAATGAAATTGCAAATACTTGCAATTATCATAAAATGATTTACGATAAGACTTTCCAGACATTACTCATTATAGTTTTACAAAGCAAACTTATTTGTTCAGACCTTAATCAGGAGTGACATTATCACACATGTAGTGGAATCGGGAGGATTCCGTTTATCTACAAATCGATTGCCTACAGTGTCATTTGCCTACATTTACTTACTTTTGCCGACAGTTCATTTGCACTCAAGAATTATTGCCTACAGTTCGATTGCCTGCAAGAGATCCCCGTATTCGATTCCTGGTCGGGGATATATTTTTGGTTACAAAATTATTCAAATTTTAGGATCTTTACCTGCATCAGAATTTTAGATTAATCTAAAAGCATCGATGCCTATGAGTATCAATATAATTAAATTGCTTGTTAATATTAAGCATCGTCTACAATGGACAATAGCAGTAGTTACAGCCTTACCACTTCTGCTACTGCCCATTGTAGACGACGCTTAACTGTTACTGCTCTAGATCTGTTAGAATTGCATTTGAAGACTGAAAATAAATTCGGTGCGCAGTTTAAGGAATTGAATATGAGTATATGAATTTACACAGAATTATTTCAGCACTAAAGATCCAGCTTGACTGTTTAAAGTCTTCATGTCCGATTTGCTGTGTAGTCACATTACGATCTTATAAGACACTTTGTGATATTTTTTATACTGTATATTTCTTATATATTTATAATACATATACTCTCTGCTCAAAAAATACTCGGAATTTCTTATTTGAAAGCGCGTTAATGGTATGTCAAATTTTTTTTTTCGTTAAGTTGGCATACCTATTCTTGATATTGATGCTGAATTTGAACGTGATCTGTCATTTAGTTTGTTTACAGCAGCAGGGGATCGATTGTGTATTTCGAAATGAGGGGGTTGATTCTGTATCTTCAAACAAAGTTCATACAAGGTGAAAATTACAAAAGTAAACAAATTCACTAGAATATTCATAATTTAATTGGTCAATATATAGTGAATTTGCTCACTTTTGTAATTTTCACCTTATTTCAAGATACATAATCGACTTTCTGTTCATATCAGTATACCTTAGGTGCGTTCGTCAGATTTTATAATGGAAAAAAAGTTGAACAGAAAGTGTGTTTGAAATTTTGTGTTACAAACGAAATTTCTTTTGCCGACGTATTAAAAATGTTACAAAAAGCCTATGGGGACTCTAATTCTCTCTCGAAAATACAAGCGTATGAGTATAAATTGTTTAAAGATAGCCGTGAAGTCGTAGACTTGCCGCGTTCTGGGTGTTCATCGACATCAAATACGAACGAAAACGTCGATAAAGTGAAGAAAATTGTGCTTGTAAATCGTCATATGAGTGAAAGAGAGATTACTTCAACCCTTAGCATCTCTAATGGTTCGATTCATCACATTTTAACTGAAGTTTTGGGCCTGAGACGTGTTCAAGCGCAATGTTCACAGTGGCATTTTTAAGGCTGCTAAAACTTCGGTGTAAAGATAAAGTTGAGAAGGGGCCCGGACATTACTATTAATTACTATTAAGGCAATTCCTGACCCTGCTGCAATATTACAGCAGATCTGTAATATTGCAGCAAAAATTTCATAAATGTTTACCACGCACTGTAGCCTGCAGGTCCGCGGATCCCGAAGCTTACGGGGGACCCGCGGATCCTGGGGCCCGTCAGTGCGTTGCACCAGTTGCATCGATGTTAAAAACGCTCCTGAAGCGCGATTAATTCCAAAACAATTGAATTTTTTGTAAAAAGAAATCGTCTCTTGTACCTGACTTTTTGACCAAACATGCAACAAATATCATAGTCCATGCACCGTATTTACCAGACATGGCACCATATGACTTTTTCTTGTTTCCAAGACTCAAATTGCCCACTACGGGGAAAGCGTTTTGATTTGATTGATTCCATAAAAGAAAATTCGACGAAGGAGCTAAAGGCCATATCTTCAGGAGCCTATAAAAAGTGCTACGAAGAGTGGGTTAATCGCTGGCACATGTGTATAGCTTTAAATGGCGATTATTTTAAAGGGGATAAAATAAATTTACCTTAAAATTCAAATTTTGCGTTTTATTTAAAAATTCCGGCTACTCTTTGAGCAGAGGGTAATTTTGCTCTGAATAATTTATTTTTATGTATTTAACCTTACCCAAAAATTACTATTGTCGTCGTCGTCGTCGTCGTCGTCGTCATCATCGCCGTCGTCGTCGTCGTCGTCATCGCCGTCGTCGTCGTCATCATCATTGTCATCGTCGTCGTCATTATCGCCGTTGTCGTCGTAGTCGTCATCCTCGTCGTCATCGTCGTCATTGTAATCATCGATGTTGTAATCGTTTTCTTCTACGTTATTCCGTATGCTATTTTTAGGATCTCTGCCGGACTAATTAAAAAAAGACGTTGAAGTTTAAATTGATAAAAACTTATTAAGTATGTCAATTTAGCAAATAATATTTAGTTAATAATACTTTATATACAAAATTGTCAAAGTTAGTACATAAATAATTAATTTTAATATGTCCGCTGGACGTCTATATTTATCATAATTCGGACTACATTGAAAATGAGCCATCTTATGTATAGCCTATGGACGTCCAAATAATGGATGTTCAAAATCGAACTTGCGACGATGTCTATTTCACGTCCATGGATATACGGATGTAAAATGGACATACAAATATTTTTACATCCTGTGCTAACTGGATAATAGTACAATAAAATATTTTTGTTAATATGATTAGGCATAGCCAAAGGGAAGGGGAAACAATTAGGAGTCATGCACTTCCTTAATTTTAAAGAAAAATGTTAGAATGTTTTCTGACTCTCAATATTTAAAAGTGTGAATATTTTAAAGTATCGGGCAACCCAAACAATACAAAGTCTAAAATTGTGACATATGGTAAGACGTCTTTAAGTCGTCTTTCAGACGTAAAAAACGTCTTATGACCCGATTTTAGACACTTTTTGTTGTCTGGGAAGTGAGAGTGCTCCGTAGTAATTTGTTGCGTAATCTTTTTTGCAACGGGACCTTCCCGATCCCCTTAAAAGAGTAGTCCCTCGAAATGATCGAATCCGTATTTCGCGGTTTTTCATAATTTTGAACCGTTTTCAAAATATATGGATGGTAACGATATTTATAGACACCCTGTTTATGCATACGCATATATACCATATTTGTAGTCATTCGAACTGTACGCCGAAATTTTCTCGGATTTATAACGTTTTTCATTGGCAGAACTAGTGCACACTCAGTGTACTTTAAGTCGTTGTACAAAAATTGGCATATAGATGTATGCTTAATAAAAATATAGAAACGAATTAAACCGCGAAATATTCAATACATTTTATTGTGCTATTTGATAAAATACACATTGGGCATTTTATCAATGGAAATATTTTACTTTTACATTTAGATTAGAATAGTGTACAACAGCTTTAATGTGCACTAAGCGCACATGTTCTGCCAATGAAAAACGCTATTAAAGACGCAGCTAAACTACTGAAATAATACAATATAACAATTAAATTTTTGATGCTGAATAAGCGTCTATTAGAGAGGTCTTAATATGCTAGAAATCTGTAAATAAATTTATTTATTGCGAAAAATAGTATTTTGGCCAGGAGTCAAATCCGGATCTCTACACAGAGAGAAAAATGTTTGGTATTTGTAACTATAATTATATATTACTATAATTATGATTATTACTGCTATAATAATAATAACAGTAACTATATATATAGTTCCAGTAACAAATGTTATAATTGGCAACCTAAAATGACTATAATTATAGTTGTTATAACCATAAAATAGTTGAAATTACCATAAAAATGGTTCAAGTGACTATAAAATATAGTTACTGTTATTATTATTATAGCAGTAATAATCATAATTAGTAATATATAATTATAGTTACAAATACCAAACATTTTTCTCTCTGTGTAGCATTCTGTCCTAAGCCCTTAGGCTACCGAGGCCTTTTAGTAATATTCTTCATAATAATCAGTGTACATATGGAAACAACGTCTGAATGACTATAACAAATATGGTATATGCATATATATATAGTATATATGTACGAGTATATATATATACACACATTAATTCACATTGAATTATTTAAGCATTAAAAGATCTAGTTTTGACCTAGATCTAGTTATGGCCATTATTTTTTATTTCCTATTTGCTGAGTTTACATACAATTTCTTCTGTAGAATTTATTTTTATTTATTTAATCTTACCAAGTCACGAACTCCGTTAATGCCGTAGCTGTTTTGATTATTGCCGTTGCCGCCGTCGTCGTCATCGTCATCGTCATCGTCATCATCATCATCATC